GAGTGCCACTGGGGGCCCCCCGATCGCCCCACCAGTCACCCCACAGATCCTCCCTGATCACTGGCCAGGCCTAGGGACCCTACCCATGCACGAATTTCATGCATCAGGCCTCTAGTTAATAAATAATAATACAAGAGTAAACTTTGTTTCATGCACTCACAACAGTAAGCCTATTTTTGCCCCACACTGTATGTAAGTTGCCACATGACCCTATTTTTTACATAGACTGCACAATTGACCTTTATAAAGAAGACAATCTCTTGAGAGGTGAGAAATGAAAACATGTGGCTGTTGGAGTATATGTGACTACAGAAGTGTTCAGCACCTTAAATGGTCTCTGTATACACTTGAAAAAAATTAAATAACCAGTACAAAATCCACTAGTAAGCTTCACTTCAGAATCTTTTTCCTAAAATGAGACATCATTTGTCATTGCAGGATGAAACTGTTGCTTGCATGGCTGCAGCCATTGATGCTGGAGTGGATCCAGAAGCTGTAAGTAATTGGCCCCTTGTGTAGAACAAGGAGCTTTAACTGTGCCATTGCCTATAATTTATCACTCAGCTGAGGAAGAGAATTCCTGATTGCTGCCATCCTCCATAGAATGCCTTGGAAATCCAGAAATCTTGAATATAAATCTCAGCTTTGTAAAATTTCTAATTCAGATAGGCTCTATCTCTAACATTCACTGGTAATGGGTGGCAAGGCTTCTCAGGTATGTCACTTTCTATATTTTCAGACTGGCTTACTGATTTCTTGTTAGGTGCTAGTATTCTGCATCAACTATCTAGCAAGTTAAAATGAGGAAGGGAAGAAATTAGGAAATCATGGCAAGGTCACAAAAGCATTAGAGAAGAAATGGAAGAGAATTTTTTTCTCAGCATACTTTCCTATATATGGGATGGTTAGAAGCTAAAGGAACCAAAACATTTTGAGTATTCAAGTTGCAGGAACAGATAAAATACATTAGATGTTGGCTAAAGGTTATAGAGCAAAGTCAAAATGAAAGTCTGGACAATGATTTACTTGAGAGAGCTTTTTCTCCCTAAAGCCAATACATAATGGTAATTTTCATATTCTGAAAGAAGACAGATGGGAGATAAATCAGGTGCCAGAGGTCAGCTTTTTTAGAATAAATGAAACCTCTTCTCCTTTTCCACCATTCCTAAAGTCCTATTTCCAGAGCCTTCTCTCCTCTAAGGAACCCTTAGAATGAGGTAAAAGTGAGAAATGTTGGCCTGATTAATAAAAAAAAAAAAGATCAAGAGCCATTGCCGGGTGTTGGTTGAAGTGTTGTGCTGTGAACCAAAAGGTTGTGGGTTCAATCCCCAATTGGGGCACATTCAGAAGGCAAATGATTGATGTTTCTCTCTCACATCAATGTGTTTTTTTCTCTCTCTCTTTCCCTTCATCTCTCTCTAAAAAATCAATAAAAAATATCCTTGGGTGAGGATTAAAAAAAGAAAAAGAAAAGAATAAGAAACTTAGTTCGCTCTAAAAGAGTCAGTTAAAGGATATAAGAAATAAAATGCTTGTGAGAGCAGGGAAATAAGCTAGCTCAATTTATTTCAGATATTTAAAGTGAATGTATGAGATGCCAGAGTTTTAAAAGATCAAAGGTACTGGTAATGGAGAAATGGCTGTGAGACTTGATGAAGTAGTGTCTAAGGAACTCCAATTGCTTGTTTCTCTTGCAAATCATTATCCTGATCTTTTCCAGCAAGTGGAAACCTGTCTACAGACAAGTAGATCTTCTGATGGATTCACCACTCAACATGTTCTCCGTCAAGCTCAGATGTCTAAGGAGCTGGTTGAGTTGAATAAAGCCCTTGCACTGAAAGAGGCCCTAGCCAGGAAGATGACTCAGGATGGCAGCCAGTTACAGCCAATTCAGTTCCAGTACCAGGTAAAATCTTTACTAGAGCAGCATTTGTTAATGTCTACCATCTCTCTTGAATTGTAAGCGAAGAAAACAGGCCCACTGTTTTTGATGATGACAAGACAACATAATGTGTGTAGTACAACTGGAGTTATACTATTGGTTAAAGAAAAGAATACATTCAGGGTAGGGAACCTGTGATTTTGTTTTACTTAATCTAATACCTTCTACAATAGGTTTTAATAAATCTATATATATAAAAGCCTAAGCAACCGGCCCACCAGCCAACTGTCCAGTAGCTATGATGCGCACTGACCACCAGGGGGTAGACACTCAATGCAGGAGCAGAAACCACAGGCATGGAAACATGGAACTTCCTTCCTTCTCAGAGGGAAGCGGGGAGGGGAGAGTATGGGAAGAGATTAACCAAAGATCTTATATACATACTAGAGGCCCAGTGCATGGATTCATGCACCGGTGGGGTCCCTCAGCCTGGCCTGCGGAAATAAGGCTGAAACTGACTCTCCAACATCCCCCGAGGGGTCCTGGATTGCGAGAGGCGCAGGCCAGGCCGAGGGACCCCACCGGTGCACGAATCCGTGCACCAGGCCTCTAGTAGTTTGATAATGTTATAATAGAATTGGTCCCTGCTTGGAGAAATTGTGTTCTAATAACTATGCTGGGGTTCTGAGAATGGTACAGGGTCTCAGAGTGTCAATTATAAAGAGATTTGTAGTGGATATCACATGACTTGGCAAATGGCTGAACTTGTTTATCCTAGTGGTAGTTTTAAGTGGCTCTTGTTAATTAAGAGGATTTATCTTTACTTAAAGAAAAGTCTTGGCTTTCAGGTTATCCACAAGGTCACCCTTGCTCCAGACCTTATTTTTCCTTGTAGCCCAGTGTTTCCCATCCACAAAGGAATGTTAACAGGGCTGGTAGGGGAAAGGGTACATTGTTTTCCCATCCAACTATAACCCCAAAGTCCTATATGCTAGTATGAAGAAATCCCTGTGACACTAATGCATTTCTACCACCATTTCCCCTAATTTTTCAGAGTAAAAACAAAAAAAGTGTTTTCACTAAGTGATTTTTGCCACTTTTTACCCCTAGGGTAGATGTTGCTTCCAAAGTAATAACTGAGTTGCCAATAGAGGTTTTATTTCCTTTTCATTACCATAGTCTTATTTAACTTTTTTATAACTTAATTTTTATTTATGTCAAACAAATGCATGTCTATAATTTGTAAAAGTCAAATAGTACGATACTAACATTATCAATTGATTTTCCACTTTGGAAGGTGGGAATATAGCTCTCTTATACAGCCACCCATGCACACTGCCTCACCTCTGTCTTTAAAGATGATTACATACCAGTATAAAAAAGAAATAAATAAAAATGATTATATCACAGTGTTCGATTAAATGAATAGTTAATATTTACATTTTTATGATTATGTAAATGTTTTACAGCTGAGTCACATAGTATAATATGATTTCATTTCCTTTCTTGTATAGCTTTTTGTGTATCCTGGAGTTAATAATATCATTTTTTTAATTTATTTTTTTTATTTAAGTACTAGAGGCCTGGTACACGAAATTCATGCATGGGGAGGGGGGCTGTCTCTCAGCCCAGCCTGCACCCTCTCCAATCTGGGACCCCTTGAGGGATGTCCAATCCCGATTTAGGTGAGATCGGGCCTAAACGGGCAGTCGGACATCCCTCTCACATCCCTCTCCCAATCGCTTGCCTGCCTGCCTGCGTGATTGCACATAACCACTTCTGGCTGCCAGCCTGATCACCCCCTAAACCAGTGATGGTGAACCTATGACACGCGTGTCAGAGGTGACATGCGAACTCATTTTTTTTTGGTTGATTTTTCTTTGTTAAATGGCATTTAAATATATAAAATAAATATCAAAAATATAAGTCTTTGTTTTACTATGGTTGCAAATATCAAAAAATTTCTATATGTGACACGGCACCAGAGTTAAGTTAGGGTTTTGCAAAATGCTGACACGCCGAGCTCAAAAGGTTCGCCATCACGGTGCTGTCCTCTCCTCTGTTTTTACTCTTTTTACTTATGCTCTCCCCTCTGTCTGAAGTGCCATGTCCCCTGCATGTCACCAGACTGACTCTTGCTCCTTTAAAAAGACTCAGCTCAGCCCCTACCCTCATTCCATCCCATCCCAGGCTAGGAGACTTCCCTGGAATCCCGAGTCCCTGCCTGAGTCACCGTCCCAGTACTTAACCCTTTGACTGGACTTGGTGATTTCTCCCACTACCAGGGGTGGGCAAACTTTTTGACTCGAGGGCCACAATGGGTTCTTAAACTGGACCGGAGGGCCGGAACAAAAGCATGGATGGAGTGTTTGTGTGAACTAATATAAATTCAAAGTAAACATCATTACATAAAAGGGTACGGGCTTTTTTTTTTTTAGTTTTATTCATTTCAAACAGGGCCTGGATGAGGGGATGATGGCTGTTTGCAGCTGGTCACACCCCCTTCAGGGTGGGGGTCCCCACTGGGGTGCCTGGCCAGCCTGGATGAGGGGATGATGGCTGTTTGCAGCTGGTCACACCCCCTTCAGGGTGGGGGTCCCCACTGGGGTGCCTGGCCAGCCTGGATGAGGGGATGATGGCTGTTTGCAGCTGGTCACACCCCCTTCAGGGTGGGGGTCCCCACTGGGGTGCCTGGCCAGCCTGGATGAGGGGATGATGGCTGTTTGCAGCTGGTCACACCCCCTTCAGGGTGGGGGTCCCCACTGGGGTGCCTGGCCAGCCTGGATGAGGGGATGATGGCTGTTTGCAGCTGGTCACACCCCCTTCAGGGTGGGGGTCCCCACTGGGGTGCCTGGCCAGCCTGGATGAGGGGATGATGGCTGTTTGCAGCTGGTCACACCCCCTTCAGGGTGGGGGTCCCCACTGGGGTGCCTGGCCAGCCTGGATGAGGGGATGATGGCTGTTTGCAGCTGGTCACACCCCCTTCAGGGTGGGGGTCCCCACTGGGGTGCCTGGCCAGCCTGGATGAGGGGATGATGGCTGTTTGCAGCTGGTCACACCCCCTTCAGGGTGGGGGTCCCCACTGGGGTGCCTGGCCAGCCTGGATGAGGGGATGATGGCTGTTTGCAGCTGGTCACACCCCCTTCAGGGTGGGGGTCCCCACTGGGGTGCCTGGCCAGCCTGGATGAGGGGATGATGGCTGTTTGCAGCTGGTCACACCCCCTTCAGGGTGGGGGTCCCCACTGGGGTGCCTGGCCAGCCTGGATGAGGGGATGATGGCTGTTTGCAGCTGGTCACACCCCCTTCAGGGTGGGGGTCCCCACTGGGGTGCCTGGCCAGCCTGGATGAGGGGATGATGGCTGTTTGCAGCTGGTCACACCCCCTTCAGGGTGGGGGTCCCCACTGGGGTGCCTGGCCAGCCTGGATGAGGGGATGATGGCTGTTTGCAGCTGGTCACACCCCCTTCAGGGTGGGGGTCCCCACTGGGGTGCCTGGCCAGCCTGGATGAGGGGATGATGGCTGTTTGCAGCTGGTCACACCCCCTTCAGGGTGGGGGTCCCCACTGGGGTGCCTGGCCAGCCTGGATGAGGGGATGATGGCTGTTTGCAGCTGGTCACACCCCCTTCAGGGTGGGGGTCCCCACTGGGGTGCCTGGCCAGCCTGGATGAGGGGATGATGGCTGTTTGCAGCTGGTCACACCCCCTTCAGGGTGGGGGTCCCCACTGGGGTGCCTGGCCAGCCTGGATGAGGGGATGATGGCTGTTTGCAGCTGGTCACACCCCCTTCAGGGTGGGGGTCCCCACTGGGGTGCCTGGCCAGCCTGGATGAGGGGATGATGGCTGTTTGCAGCTGGTCACACCCCCTTCAGGGTGGGGGTCCCCACTGGGGTGCCTGGCCAGCCTGGATGAGGGGATGATGGCTGTTTGCAGCTGGTCACACCCCCTTCAGGGTGGGGGTCCCCACTGGGGTGCCTGGCCAGCCTGGATGAGGGGATGATGGCTGTTTGCAGCTGGTCACACCCCCTTCAGGGTGGGGGTCCCCACTGGGGTGCCTGGCCAGCCTGGATGAGGGGATGATGGCTGTTTGCAGCTGGTCACACCCCCTTCAGGGTGGGGGTCCCCACTGGGGTGCCTGGCCAGCCTGGATGAGGGGATGATGGCTGTTTGCAGCTGGTCACACCCCCTTCAGGGTGGGGGTCCCCACTGGGGTGCCTGGCCAGCCTGGATGAGGGGATGATGGCTGTTTGCAGCTGGTCACACCCCCTTCAGGGTGGGGGTCCCCACTGGGGTGCCTGGCCAGCCTGGATGAGGGGATGATGGCTGTTTGCAGCTGGTCACACCCCCTTCAGGGTGGGGGTCCCCACTGGGGTGCCTGGCCAGCCTGGATGAGGGGATGATGGCTGTTTGCAGCTGGTCACACCCCCTTCAGGGTGGGGGTCCCCACTGGGGTGCCTGGCCAGCCTGGATGAGGGGATGATGGCTGTTTGCAGCTGGTCACACCCCCTTCAGGGTGGGGGTCCCCACTGGGGTGCCTGGCCAGCCTGGATGAGGGGATGATGGCTGTTTGCAGCTGGTCACACCCCCTTCAGGGTGGGGGTCCCCACTGGGGTGCCTGGCCAGCCTGGATGAGGGGATGATGGCTGTTTGCAGCTGGTCACACCCCCTTCAGGGTGGGGGTCCCCACTGGGGTGCCTGGCCAGCCTGGATGAGGGGATGATGGCTGTTTGCAGCTGGTCACACCCCCTTCAGGGTGGGGGTCCCCACTGGGGTGCCTGGCCAGCCTGGATGAGGGGATGATGGCTGTTTGCAGCTGGTCACACCCCCTTCAGGGTGGGGGTCCCCACTGGGGTGCCTGGCCAGCCTGGATGAGGGGATGATGGCTGTTTGCAGCTGGTCACACCCCCTTCAGGGTGGGGGTCCCCACTGGGGTGCCTGGCCAGCCTGGATGAGGGGATGATGGCTGTTTGCAGCTGGTCACACCCCCTTCAGGGTGGGGGTCCCCACTGGGGTGCCTGGCCAGCCTGG